TGACAAGCAACTAACTGTTCTCTCGGTCCTGCTAAGGATTATCATTGGCTAATCAAAATATTGTTCTGTATACTATATGGAAAAGAAAATTTAGTTAATTTCAGGTCTAATGGATAGTGGTACCAAAAGGCTATGAGTTTAAACCGAATTATTCGCAAGATTTAAAGCATTATTTACAATCGCTGTTCCAAGCCTGACGCTGTATGCAGCAGCCATTATTTTGGCATACACTTAGCAACAGCAAGAAATGGGCTAGATGTAGAAGGACATACTTAAATATTACTGCGATAATGAAATAGTAAGGAATGATACCAGGAATCTTATTTGATTAAGACTTTCCCAGTAAGAAACCAATATGCATAAGAGTAGTTTTTCTTATTATTTTCTACGGTATGAGTGGTTTTTCGCTGTTATTCCATCTTCAGACCGGCAGAGGTGGATCGCCTGAACATCATTTAGTTAGCCAAAGGTTTGCCTGAACGTTTCAGGCGATGCAGTGAGTGGCGTTCAAGGGTCTGTTGGTCAGCTGTTTTTGCCTTCTTTTGTGTGTCGTTTTAACTTTGTGTTGTAAATATCGTATTTGTTGCTAAACTTCCCATTAATTTGAGTAGGTTTTTATTTAGGATTCCCGAACAGTTTCTGCAGTTTTCCTTCCACCATGCCGCAGGCAGCGGTTTGTGTTGCTGACAGTATTCAACTGGCGGAACAGATGAAGACCGTCACTGTGTCATGTGATGCCGATGTTGCCTCCACTCCTGTTTCAGAACCTGTAACTATTATCGATTTTGATAGTATATTTTTGTATGTATTGTTCACTAATGATCTTGATCTTATATGATATGATCATTCATGTATATTTGATTTCAAGAGACGAGACGCTGTGCTGAACAAAGGCAACCAGTTCGTCAGGGGATCAGAAAGGGGCCCTGTACCGCAGGGCATTTCCAATCAGAACACGGGTAAGAAGCGATTTTTGGCAACAACTTACGACGTAAGCAGTGTCTTGAGGCTGCATTTTAGAATGTAACGGAAGCCACGCGGTCACCCCTGCCGTTGCTGCCGCCACCTTTGTCACCACAGTCCCTGCACCCCTCAGCGACCCATCGTCGTTCGATTCTCAGTTCAAACCGGTACGAAGTCGAGGTGGAAGAGGCCGTGGTGGCTTTAGAGGAGGACCGCGGAACAGTAGCAATGTACCTTTTCGTGGTTAGTTAATTTTTTGTTTTCAGCTTCCGTATAATTTCTTGTACAGTTGCACATTTAATACACGTGTGTTGTTTGCATGCGGTTAACTAAACTTATTACTGAAACTTATTTCTATGAATTGACGATAGCAACCATCAATAATTACTCTTTGTTGCCTTCGCTTTAATCCTTAGCAGTCGAACTTTTTTTCCATGATCGGATAACC